GGACCATCCATGGGTTGGGTCAACCCGATTGCCACTCATATTATTATTATTATTATTATTTTTCTTTGCGCATGAATTTGGAAACTCCCATAGTTTTGCTCCTTATTGGTTTACTCCATCAGCGTATTTTTAGATTTTTTTTAAGATGAATTTTATCCAATTTATTGGGCCTGCAACTATAGTAAAGTTGAATGGAGTCGATGGAGTACAAATGGTCCTATAATATCAGTATTTGACGATACGATACAAAGCGTGTAAGAGAGAGACAATTAAAGGGAGAGAGAGAGAGAGAGAAAATAATAAACAGTATTTGGGCTTGGTATTAAGGGCATGCATATGGAACTTCTTTTATTCAAAGTAGCTGTACCGTGTTCTATAGTGCTACCTACTCCACATGATAGCATTTAAATGTATTATGTTTTTTCGAATAAATTGGAGTTTAGTGGAATATTTCTAAGTTTCCTGCTCCTCTCAATTTTCTTTTCGTGGGGAAGCCACTTAAATAATGAGGTCATATTCCTATAGGAATCTTCACTAAAAAAATGAAACAATACTTATTAAAGTGGCTTCTTTTATATTATTTTTATCAATCCTCTATACAAACACTCCATCATTTTCATACCAACCTTAATCAATCAACAAAAAACAAATAACTGAATCAGCAAAAGTCATAAAAAAAAACTAGGTATTTCTTTATTTACTTTTTTTTTTTTTTTTGTTGGGCAGATTCTATATTGACAGTGTCCCGATCCGTGAAGTAGTCCGAACTCCGGCCATGGGAGGTGACTACCCCTCGAAGCCGATGTCTGTATACGCCACCATATGGGATGGCTCGAATTGGGCCACCAACGGTGGCCGGTACAAGGCAAACTACAAATACGCTCCCTTTACTGCTGAGTTTTCGAATTTAGTCCTCAAGGGCCGCCCCTCTGACCCGATTGAGCAGATCTCAGCCAAGTCCTCAGAATCCGGTGACTCCTTTGGTGAAAATACCGAACTAGCCCATGCGCAAAGACTCTCCATGAATGGAGTTAGGCATAGGCATATGACCTACTCTTATTGCTACGACAGGGCCCGATACCCCGAGCCGCCCTCGGAATGTGTCGTAATTCCATCTGAGCAAAAGAGGTTCAAGGACACTGGGAGGGTCAAATTCGGAAATGGACACAGACGTCACGGGAAGAGGCGGACCCGTAATCCGATGCCGGAATCTGACCACAAATCCGCCTCTATTTAAAACCCCTTTTTTTGTTTTTTTCTATCCAATGAAAAACAATTTCTCAAGAATTTGAATAATTAAGGATTTTATTTATTTATTTTAAGGGGAAGTGGTTGCAGCACGTGTGGGCCCATGTTACTCACGTGGGTGGTCGTTGCTTTAAGGTTGAGTGCCCATGGCAACATCTTTTATATATATAGAGAGAGAGAGAGAGGGAGCCTTGTGACATATTATTATTGAATAATACTCCTTTTGTAATTATTGGCAATAATTAAATTCCTCGTGGTTTCTTTTTGTAATTATTGGCGATAATTTCAGTTGAAAAATGGAAGAGTCGTGATGGAGCTGCACCCTCCCCGTTTTGTGCCATATACATGAGCCTTGTGATTGGTCAGGGTTTCCATTTTTTAGGGGTTTTTTTGGCCAATCATTACCATTTATGGTATTTTTTTTGGATGTTCGATGGTGGGAGATCGTTTAGGGTTTCTGTGTTACTGAATTTGGAAAGTTCGAACGCCAGCCTTTTGCCAGCTGCATGGTCGCACGGGACCATGATGACGTACTAGCCAGATTGCTTTTCAAGCTTTGAATCTCTTATTATAAAGCAATACCATGAATTAAACAATATGATTATACACCATTCTTACATATGTTATATTAATAAATTGAATATGCTTGAGGCGGACAAATTATTTTATTATTCTGGAGGAAAATATTTCATGGAATGGAAAGGAACGAAAATGGTATATTGACCCATTGCATGTGCTTTATGTGGAACTCTTTTAAATAATTTATTTAAAAAATATTTTTTATATAAGGTTGAGGCTCTAAACAATCAAATTAAAGCGCACATCAAAAATTCATTATAAAAAGTTGTTTTGATGTCAAAAAACCATCAAATCCAATCATCTAGACCTTGAGATACATGATGTCAAAAAAAAAAAGACTTCCAAGTTTTGGAAATAGTGCATCTTATAATGCATTTATCTAGACAATCAATTTTCAATATTTTCAAGTGTTCATAGATCCATCTATTTGATCTACACTGTTTTTGAAGCTTTAAATTTTATGACTAGATATAAAAATAAGTTCTAAGGTCATCAAAATATTTTTGTTACTGAAATGACATCTTTCGACATTATTTAAAGGTGCACCTTATTTGGATCGTTTAGGGCATAAGCCTTATACAAACCACACCCTTATTTAACCGGTTTCTATACAGCCAAGCCCGGCCACTTAATAAATCTATTTTTGAGATGGATTTTAATAATTACTTTTTAAGGACATGTAATAGCTAACATGGAGATCATGAATATGAAAAAATAAATAAGTTTTTAAAATAAAACTAATAATTCTAGTAATAAAACATTTGGAATGTTAGTTTCTATTGTTTTTAGATGGAACACCTACTTGCATCCATCTTTAAAATAAATGCATTAAATTTTTTGGACCGCATATGTAGAAATACAGTCCAGTGCACATGAAACAATTTTCCTTTAAATAAACTTCGTAAATGGTTTTTTATTAATTAATAAATAGATGAATATGTTATGCTTGAGTAAGGTGGCATTGACATTCACAAGCAAGGAACGTTTCCAACAAGGGGTAGATTAGAATTTCACTCTTAGGAAAATTGTGGAGTTCAAAAGAATTTAGTGTTTAAAAGCACATGGTCCCCCTCTAATAGAAAGAGAAAAACCCTGAAGTAATAATTGAAATATTTCCTTCCGTGTTCTAAATTTAGTTAGATTATAAGAGAGATCTGTTGTTTGAGGTAACCTTTCCTTATTGTTTGAATGTGAATTGCCATTTAATGCCTGCCCAGCTAAAACCTTTAGAAGTGAACCAACACGAACAAGTAGATGGTATATTTAGAGAGAGGAATCCCTCCTTGAAAGAGTAACTTTATTAGGAATGTTTACTAAAATACATAAGAAAACACTAAAAAATCCCAAGAAAAACAGAGAGAGAGAAAAAAAACAAACATAAAAGTTGAGGTGGTTAGATATTGGACCAGCACTGGTTCCTTCCCAAAATCAGTTTGTTCCAATCAATTCGTGATTCAGATCAGGCAATTCCTGATCCGAACAATGATTTTTGAAACACTATTCAGAAGCATAATTAATCCATTGGCTTTGAGGATTTCTTTTGTTTTAGGTAATTTTATGTAGAATGAAGAAGTTTTATGTGCTTATATCATATGGTTAAAGAGCTTTAAAAAACAGATGGTATCCCTAGCATAGTCATATTCTTAGATATGCCATGTTTGAAATGAGTGAGTCCGAAGTCTAACAGCTGATTAAACATGAATCGTAAGTTTGAAGAAGGAGCTGGAAGGAAGAGAATAAATAACTTTGGAATAAAGTAACATATGAAACAAGGAACCTTTGGTGTGAGTCCTAACGATATTAGTGTAGCCTCAAAATGATAAATGTTTGAAAATTCTTAAATGTCAACTTAAAACGGATTCATGCAAGTTAGAGGAGTCATCCCAAACTATAAAAAATAATAAAAGTTGCGGTTTGTATAAGGTTGCAACCTTAAACAATCTTGTAAAGGAGATTGTTTTGGGGTGGATTTTCTTGCCGACCTTTGAGAGAGGGTATTTTCTCTCAGCCTTCCTTCTTTTTATTGTTAATTTTCTGGTTTTGACATGCTAAGGAAGAAATCACTTATTATGAATTTGAAAAAATGCTCATTTATGACAGATAATGTCATCGTTCTAGGGTATGTTGTTTCATCTGAGGGCATTAAGGTGGATCAAGAGAAGGTTAAGGCCATAGCTGAGTGGTCGGTGTCAAAGTCGCTCACTGAGGTGCATTTTTTTCATGGCCTAACGACCTTTTATCGTCAATTTATCAGAAATTTCAGCACTCTAATAGCACCAGTGACTGATTGTATGAGGGCTAGAAAGTTTTCATGGAGTCCCGCTGCTGAAAAGAGCTTCAATCTAATTAAACAAAATATGATGCAAGCAATAGTACTTGTCTTACCAGATTTTTCTAAGGTGTTTGAGGTTGAAACTGATGCATCAAATGTTGGCATATGGGCAGTTCTAAGTCAAGAGGGGCAACCATTGGCCTTCTTTAGTGAAAAATTGAATGAGGTACGTAAGAAGTATTCGGTTTATGACCTCTAGTTTTAATGCAGTGGTGCAAGCCTTGCGTTACTGGAGGCACTACTTGATTCACCTATATGTGCCTATATCCAACCATAGCCATAGTTTTATCCTTCCCAACGTGCCCACCTAATGCTCCACCATGAAGCTCCTTGATATAGGCACATAAAACTTCTTCATTCCCAAGCACTATTTGAGTTCCCAGAAGAAGTTGAATGTGTGACATGCTAAGTGGATGGCCTTCCTTCAAGAATACACCTTCCTATTAAAGCACAAAGGTGGAACCCAAAATAAGGCAGCTAATGCTTTAAGTAGAAGGGTAATATTGCTTAGAACTTTTGTCTACGGAAGTGTTGCGGTTTCATTCAATTTTTAGCAAGGTCATTGAAAGTTGTGTTGATGGGCGAGACCCTATGGGTATATCTCATGCATGATGGTTGATTATTTAAAGGTCTGTGGTTATGTATACCTGATTGCTCCCTAAGGGAGAAGATAATCAAGGAGCTTCATGGTGGAGCATTAGGTGGGCACGTTGGGAAGGATAAAACTATGGCTATGGTTGGAGAAAAATATTTTTGGCCACGTATGCCGAGAGATATCGATCGATTTGTGACCTGATGTGGAACTTGCCAAGTATCTAAAGGTCACACACAAATTATATGTTTTTATACCCCCTCTTCCTATTTCAAATGCCCCATGAGTTGATATTTCTATGGACTGTGTACTTGGACTTACACGAACCACATGAGGTATGAACTCTATTTTTGTTGTTGTTGATCGATTTTCCAAAATGGTACATTTTATTCCTTGTAGGAGAACTATGGATGCTACACATATTGTCAATCTTATTTCCAAAGATATTGTAAGGCTAAATGGTATTCCTAAGTCTATTACATCTGATCGGGATACAAAATTTTTAAGTCATTTTTGGCGCACTTTGTGGAAGCGCATGGGAACTAAGCTTCAATTTTCTAGCGCTTATCATACTCAAATAGATGGGCAGACCGAAGTAGTGAATAGGAGCATTGGTAACCTCTTGAGAAGTATTGTTTGTGATAACATACTTCAGAGGGACCTCGCTTTGCCCCAGGCGGGGTTTGCTTACAACAGTTCAGCAAATCGATTTATAGGAAAATCACCATTTGATATTGTTAATGGGCGGATGCCTAATCATGTGCTGGACCTAGTGTCATTACCCATGCCAGGCAAGATGCTTTTGCTGAGCATTTTTTAGATTTGCAAGTTCAAATCAAGAAGAAAATTGAGTAAAGCAATGCAAAGTATCGAAAAGCCTCAAATGAGCATAGAAAAGAAAAAGTTTTCAAAGAAGGGGACTTAGTAGTGGTGTATTTGAGAAAGGAGAGGCTTCTTTTGGGAACCTATAATAAACTCAAGTCCAAGAAAGTGGGCCCTTGCCACATTTTGAAGCAATATGGGAACAATGCATACAAGGTGGAATTACCAATGGTATTGGATATTTCCCCGATATTTAATGTTGCTGACTTATTTGAATTTCATGATGTTGCTGACTTATTTGAATTTCATTGAGACCCTCTAGAAGTCAAAGAAAAAGTAGTTGATATGATGAAGCAATTACCGATAAAGAAATAGTAGGAAATTGAGCAAGTTTTGAAGACTGAACGCTTTCAAACTCGAAAAAATTACTATCGCCAATTTCTAGTCAAATGGAAGGGCATGTCATGCTTTGATAGCGAGTGGATTTCTGAACAAGAGTTCAAAAGAGTAGATCCAGATTTATACCCCGTCTATACTGAAGAGAGAAAAAAAAAATGAGTGTGTGGAGGTTTTTTGTTTTCTCTTTTGCTTATCTTGTTTTTTAGTCTATTTAAAGAGATGTTTCCCTTCATTGTAAAGCAATCTATGAATTGAATAAAAATTGATCTCATAAAAGAGATTGTTTTGGGGTAGATTCCCTTGCAGACTTTTTAAGAGATGGTATTTTTTCTTAACCTTCCTTCTTTTTACTGTTAATTTCTGGTTTTATTCTCTCCCTACATCAGGCTCCTTTTTAAGCTCTAATTTTAAAAATTTAGACTAAAAAATGGTTCAAATCAAGTAGCTCTTTAAACGCACATGAAAATAATGAAAATTGATGGTCTAGATCATGTGTTGCAAGATGCAATTTGTGGGAC